ACTTCTTTGGCTTGAAGCCATAGCTGCCACCCTACTGCCTAGCGCACAGGGTGCAGCCTGCTCAGACTGGCTCACCTTCCTGGCTTTATGCTCGAGCCCCATCCTCGGAGACAGAGGTACCTGCAGGCTTTGCCTTTCTACTTGTGCTTCCTTCTGCCTGGGTGTCCCCTCTTCCTTCAGGGCTCGGCTCTACAGCGGGCCTTCCCGCCCCAGCAGCCAACCACCCCTGCTCTGTGCAGACTTGCTCTCACGGACGGCCACACAGGCCACCCAATGACAGGCGGTGTCTGGGAACGTGTGAGGTGTACACTGTGTCTGTCACTGGTGGGTGAAATGAGGACTCTGCCCTGGGATCCTGGAGCTGAACTACTCGTCCCTCTGCCCACCAGAACAAAGGCAGCCCCCCTCCCCGCCCCCCCCAATCATTCTGCAAGGCAGAAGGAGATCCTGGGAACAGAATTTATTGATTTTTCCCGAGTGCCTCTGGTCTGGCTTCTGCAGGCCCCTCTGGGCTCTTCTGGCCTTGTTTCTGGGCTGCGGCGGCTGCAGCTTTTAAGGCCCGTTTTTGCTTCTTCAGCTTTTGAACCTCCTGGAAAACCTGGGGGTGGGAGTGGCAAGACAAGACTTTGGAATCTTTGGTAAAGTCTCAGACACAGGGCGGGCAGGGCAGGAACTGGCTCCCTCCCCCATAGCAGCCCAGCCTTTCTCCATGGGGTCAGGGACCTGTGACCTCCCTGGGCCCACTTCACGCCTCCACCAGAAACAGAGGGCACCTCCTGCCAGCCCCCACCTGCCCCCGTACCCGAATGCACAGCGCTTTCTTGGCCACCGCGCGGCGGTGGGCCTTCCTGTAGTAGAGCGGGGGGAAGGTGTACTCGATGCCCAGCTCCTGGCACGTCTTCTCAAAGACGGTGTAGTTGGTTTTGCGGAGGTTTTTGAGCATCTTCTTCCTCTGGTCGATGCTCATGAGCAGGTAGCGCTTGTGGGCTTTGTCCTGGTAGAGAGTCTGTGTTAGCCTCAGGGCTGGTGCCCCTTTCTCGCTGCCCACTGCAGGCGGGTTTGTTAGCGCACTGACCTGCCTTCCTGCCACTGAGGTTGCTATCCCCACGGCACAGGTGAGCTCACAAAGGTTCATGCTCCTTCTCCGACTCACAGAAGGGTCTAAACTGTAGGTGCTGGGGCTGGGGCTGGAGACTGGATCCACTGCTCTGCTCCAAAATCCATGCTCTTTGCCTTACCCCCACCCTGGCAAACTGTCCGCTGGGGGGAAGGGAGACTCGGTGCTCTCCGCAGAGGTGCCCCCACCCTGCCCTAGCCTGGCTCCGTGCTGCAGGCACCTCTGCAGTCGGGTAGGTGATCTATAGGCCAAATGAATAAACCCGTCTCTGAGGAGCAGGCTCAGCCGGTGGCAGGCATGGTGCCGGACCCATCAGTACCCACAACCACGCTTCTATTAGAAAGAGCAGCAGCCATTTAATGACGGCAGCTCTGCCTCACACTGGGCTGTGACGGGGGCCTGAGGGTTAGGACTGTGGGCTCTGGAGCAAGACGGCCTAATTTCCAGTCCCAGCAGATCCCTTCCCAGTGGGTTGTCTCAGGAATGACAGCAGCACTCCCTGTCTCAACGATCCCTCTGTAAAGTGGGATAAAAAGATGGCTAGATAGCTCTGGAAAGGATCACGTTAGAAGGTTCTGGACAGGGTGGGAGAAAAATGTGGACCCAAACCCCACGTCATAGAGCAGGCCAGGCTTACTGATTGGCTAGAGACTGGTGGATGGTCCAAGCCTTTCCCCACCCTTCAGGTCTGGTAACGAACCCATCCCCGTGTTAGAATCATCAACCAGTGAAGAGTCAGAGCACAGCATCTACCAGGGACAAAGTACAGAGGCAGGAGAGGCAGCGGGAGAAAACAGGGCACATGGAGAGGAATGGGCTATGTCGGGGGTCACGGAGGGGAAACAAAGCATGTAAAACGGATGATCTGCTCTGTAAACCTTCATTCAGTTCACAATAAAAATTCACAGGAATAACCGTTCTCAGGGCACAATGAGGGATTTTGTCCGGGGCTCGGACAACCCAGGAAACACTTTCCCTTGGCTGGTATCTTGCGGAGTCCTTCCAAGCCCGTGGGCAGGTACTATTTTCATTTATTCTTACCACTTCTCATTGTGAATTGGGTGAAGCTTATCAATTTTGGTGAGCAAATTGGGTGAGCAAATCAATTTTCCATTCAACAACCCACACGCACTTTGTTTCATGGCACTGATTACAATCCTCACAACGTCACAGCACGCACCCCACATGCGTCGGTGCTCACTCTGCGGGTGAGAGACCAGAAGCCTGGCTGTGTGGAGCGACTTCCTCACACTCACACAGCACATCCAGTGGCAGAGCTGGGACCGGAAGCCCCGGCGGCCCTGCACTCCTGCACCTCACTGAGCGTGACCAAGCTCAAAAAGTGGAGCTCTTAGCCACAGGTGGCCCTCAGCAGGCAGAGGCGGTGGGGCGATGTGTGCTGCTGTGGGAGCCGTTGCAACCCCTGCTTCTCCCGCTCAGAGCCCTGCCAGCCTCACCTTGGCGCCGGCGCTCGGCAGTGAGGATGCCGGCGATTTACCTTGTGATGCTTCTCCATGTGCTCTTCGTAACTGCGGATCTTGACGGTCAGGGCGACAACTGAAAGCACACAGCAGAGGGTCAGAGCTGGGCACAGACGCGAGGGCGGCCCGGCGGCCTGGCCCGGCTGGCGGTGAAGGGATCGAGGAGGAGCAACCACTGATCTTCCTGTACAGCAGTCTTAGAATCCCCCACGGCACGCTCTGTGGTAAGCCCTCAAAAGACTCCGGATTCTTTTGCCTTTACAAGTCAAAGTCTGAGCTAGGGCACTTCATAAACCGGATGTTATCGTCCCCAAACCAGAGCAAACAGCACCCTTGAACTGGCAACACTTCAGAGCATGCCCGTGACATTCAGGAACCAGTCTGGGATGTCGGCTACCATGGTTAGTTACCCGACACTGCTCTGGGCGGCCCAGCCGAGGCAGCCCGAGACGTTTCTGCAAGTGTGAGAGGTCTACTCATTGCCTTCGCCCTCTCCTGCTTGCTGCTGTTCTGCCCGCTGTGCCTCGACTAAGGCCTGGGAGGACCCTTCCTTCAGGGGGGCAGTCCCTGGCAATCTGCACTGCAGTGGGGCCAAGGCAAACAGAAGGCACCTCCCAGGGAGGCTGGCACCACAGCAGCACCGACACTGAGTTCGGGAGCACTGCAGAGAGCAGCGGGCACCTTGGCTCTGACCACATGGTCCCTCCACACCACTCCAGGTGCAGAGTGGGGACAGAGCCCCGAGGACCCCCTAGAGCAGATGCCATGCTAGAAACTGGCATTCAGAAAACCAGATTAGTGAGAGAGCAGTTCCGAGCCCTGCGGCGTCTTGGCAAACAGGCCTTCCTGGGAACCTCCGGGATGGAGAATCCGGAGAGCTCTGTAAGCAGGCTGCTGTGGAAGTGGTCCCTGAGCCAGGGATTCAGGGAGCCAAGGGACCCTGCAACTTGTCTTCTCAAAGGGACTAGGGAGGAGCCAGGAGATGGGCCTGCAGCCTATTCATGAGGTTCAGTGCCCAGAATCATTCCCTGCAGAGCTCGTGTGGGTCCACGAGTCCATCCCACGTGCTCCCAGTGATCAGTATGGATAAGTGGCTCTCATAACAAGGGGGATGGTGGGGCTTTCGCTCACAGCCAATGAAGACCATTGTCAGTTCCAGCTCCTACAAAAGCAGGGGCCTCATCACCTTAGAACAGGCCCAGAAGCCTTGGCCCAAGAACCGGATTGCTTGGGCTTGAATCCTGGCTTTTCTATTGATAAGTTTGGGGGTTCTTGGGCAAGCCATGTAATTCTGTGCCCCAGCTTCTTTCTTTGTTCAATAAAGGGGTGCCCACATCCCCTGGTTTCCCACAATCCTATTGAGAGGTAGGTGACACTCTCCCTTGCTGTGTTCCCACAGCTGTCCGTTCCTGCCTAGGAAGCAGAGGCTTGGAGAGAGGGGCAGTGAGTTGCCTAAGCCCACATACTATCAAAAGTATAGTGGAGGGTGGGACCTGGGCACAGAGCTTGGCCTACCAATGCCGCCACCCCTGGTCTTCATGTTTCTCCCTTTTCCCCCTTTCCCAAGCCATATCTAGTATGCTTGCAGGTGGGGCTCCTGGACCAGGTGCCAGTTAGCAGAGTCCCTTCTTGTCCTCACCCCCGGGGGCCCCCTGACTAACTTCGAGCCTCCAGGGAGCTGGTGTCCTCAGGGTTTTCCACGACCTTGTTCATCAACAACTCTTGCTTGACTTTTAGCTTCTCCTTCTGTTGAAAAGAGAGTGACAGAGAATCTATGAGGCTCGCCACTCCAGGAGCTGGGCCTCAGCACCCCCCAAGACCCATCATGGTAGCAGTCCCTCCAGCAACTGGGTCCACAGGGTACAGGCCTGACATCACTGTGCATTGGGGTTGGCCTCTGACCAACCACATGGCGACTCATGTCTAGGTGAGTCCAAAGCTAAGGGTTTGATAGATGAATGCCCCTGTGTGCTCACTCATTCAGATATGTATTGAGCACTCGCTATTTTTGGGGTGCTAAGAGCACGCTGGGGAACGAGATTATCCTCCCTCCAGATGCTCTGGGGCTGACACATGCTAGGGAGTGGCAGTTTGAAAGATGCTGTGACTGGAAAAGCAAGGGGGTGGGGGGTGGGCATGCACAGGGGAGGAGGGGATTGAAGGAGGCCAGTATCTACAGCAGGCCACTCACCTTTTTAGCCATTTCCAAAGACAAGAGTCTTCTTACAACATCATCAACCCTATGGAGACATTTGGGGCGGGGTGAGGAGGAGGGAGGGCATGGCTCTCATTTTAGCCTGACAGGCAGGGTCAAATGACAGTTTCTTCCAAAATAAATCCGTCTCGCTGGGCTGGGGAGGCCCTGCCCCAGGACTAGAAGTCGGTGTGGCTGCGGCTGGTTGCACTGAGAACATGGAACGAGGAGATCACCAGAGGAAATAGGGGAAGTCAGCTCAACGGTTCCAGGCTTGTTGCAGGGTTATCACCAATGTAGCCAGGATACCGTGTGATCTGTCTTGAGACACTTCAATTCTACAATCGGTTTCTTCTCTAGTCACACGGCACAGATGGAGGGGCTGCCCTGCGCCCACTGCGGGGCAGGGGCTAAGCAGAAGGACCTTGGCCTTGGTCAAGCCTGATTCAGCCCTGAATTTAAAACCCCGCTTTACACACTTAGTGTTGTTCACACCGAGCAGCTTCCTCATTTAGAAAGTGGGGGCACAGGACACTATTTACCCCTCACAAGGTTGCTGTGCGCATCAAGAAATAGACTTCTACAAAGACCCAGGGCCCATGTGAGCTCCTTGGTATACAGGGTCCTCACTACGAGGACAGTTGAGCTCCATCGTCCCTGCTGTCCACTGACCCTCACCATGCTTGGGGCATCATAGCTTTGTTCTAATCTACAAACAAGCTTCAGATATGGCAGCCCAAGCCTGAAGCCACTGTCACCCTCCGCTCCCCTCCCTCCCACAGTGCCAATCCCCCCCAGAGAGGTTGCTTTCTGCTTACTTCTCAACTGCAGGGATGTTCTGGTAGTCCTTGAGCAACGTGGAAGGGGGTGGGTCATCTCCTTGGCTGGGCTGGACTGTGACTTGAGAAAACAATGCTTACAGAATTGATGTGTCTCAAAACAGGCAGGACTCTTGACAGACGACACCTGGGAGTCAGCTCTCACTGTCTGTCCGTCCAGCCCTGGCTCACCTCGCCACGCCCCCAACTACCTACAAGACACCCAGGCACTCAAGCAAGGCACTAGAGTAAGGTGACCAGATGTCCCAATTTTTGGCGTTTTAAAAAAGTCCCGATTTTTGGAATGAATGCACGACAAGTTAGGGAACGGTCTATTTGGTCCATATAGACCAAATTTTAAATCAAGAAGGCCCCGCCCCCAGTCAATGGTGTCCCGCTTTAAATCTGGTCATCTTACACTAGAGGTCTCTGGGATGTTCTATCTTCTGCAAACCTGGTGGCCACCTGCCTTCACCTTGCATGCTGGAGGGGAAGGCCTTCCCTAACAACCCCCACTTGCCTGCTCTTCTCTCACACCTGCTTGGCCCTACAGTTATTAGGTTCCCCACTGGGGTGGGTCGGTTCTCGGGGGATCAGGAATGGATAGGATTCCCTGTGGGTCCCCACAGCCCGCCTGGTTCATGGCCTAGACTAGAGGAGGCACTCCACAAATACTGTGGCAGACTGCAGGCGTGGGATACGGGGGTTGAGGAAAGAACCCCCAGCTTTAACCAGTTGTTGTCAAGTCAATTCTGCCTCATGAGGACCCCCTGCATGTCAGAATAGAACTGAGTGCCACAGGGTTTTCAAGAGCTTCAGTTTGTGGAAGTAGATCACCAGGCCTTTCTTCCGAGGCACCCCTGGGCAGATCCAAAGGGCCAAACATTCAGTTGATCTTTTCTGGGGCAAAAACTGGCGTTCAGCGTTTGCACTGTGACCTGGGGGCTCCCCACTGCTCTAGGATGTCTGAGGAATCTTAAACACTACTTGGCACAACAAACCACACACGCCACCTCAGAAGGGCCACCTGTTCTAGGTGGCCCTGCAAAAGGCTGACCACCAAGTTCCTCCCACGCCTCACTTCCACTCCCGCTGCGTCCCAGGCGCAGGGGTTTGTGACACGGTGGATTTGATGATCTACCCATTGCATCTAGTGGCTCTGTCTCCTGCCGCCGTCCCCTGGGCCACGCCATGCACCACGCCAAGCCCTCCTACCTGCTTTCTTGATGGCAAATCCGCGGGCGGCCTGGAGGAGGTGACCTACGCAGAAGGCAGGAGGGAGGACGCTGAAGCCCATCTCCGCTGAATTTCTCTGCGGCCTAGGGATTCCCTTCCTGCTAACTCAGCGTCCAGCCACTGCCTCCGTCTCCCACCTAGTCTCACTTCTCCCTCCACCCACTACCCTTTCTCTTTCACCCTGCCGCCGCCCTGCTCCCTATTCCCGCCTCCCGATCTCCCATTCCCCGAACCCTGCGTCCATACTCCCGGCTCCTCTATTTCCCGGCCCCTCACCTCGAGGCTGCAGGCGCCACTGGGCCGAGGGAAGTCTGGCCCTCACTCCCTCTGACACCCTAAGAACTGGGAGCTGGATCCCTGCTTGCGTCCGAACCGAACCCAGGGCCCGGCACGCTGCCCTCAGCATGCTGACTCCTGACCCCGACGGGCCGCGCCTCGGCCGCCGTCCGGTTACATGGGCGCCGCCATGTTGGTCTAGGCTCGATCAATCGAGTGCAGCGCGAACCGGCGCCGAAGAAGGCCGAGCGAATGGATTGAAGGAGCGCTCAGAAGATGATCGACTGCTCCGGGGGGTGTCGGGAGAGCTGGTTAGCGGCTCGCAGGATTGGGGTACAGCCGTTAGTCACGTGCAAAACAGTATCAAAAGGCCCCCAAACCCGAACTGACTGCTGTCGAGACTGCTCATTCTGACAGTGATGTGGAAACAGTAAATGTCCCTTTTTTTTGGGCGGGGGGCGGGGGCATGTATCCTGTCCTTAATCCTTCCTTATATTTCTGGCCTCTGTGATTTTGGGAGCTCCCACGGGCCTGACGCAACTTTCTTCTCCCCTCAAGTATTTTTTTCCCCTCTCACCAACAAATTCCCGGTCTGGCAACTTGTAGCTGGTGATCTAGGGTCTTGGGATCCAGCTCTGGGCTGGAATCTTCCCTGGCCGCGAGTGGAAGGCCCAGAGGGCAGGGAAGAACGTGTGTTTCCGGGGCCTGCCCTGCTTCCGCTGCGGAGTGGCCAGCGATTGTGAATTGCTGACAGCAGGGCTCCCATTTAGCTCACCGTTTACCTCCTGTGTGACCTTGTGGGCAAGTCTGTTTACCTTTCAGCTTGGGATGGGACAGCTGGACCCTTCTTTTAGGCCAGTGGTTGGCAACCTTCCTAATGCCGCGACCCTTTCAGACGGTCCCTCATGATGTGATGACCCCCCAACCATAACATTATTTTTGTTGCTACTTCATCACTGTCATTTTGCTACTGTTATGAATTGGGCGACCCCTGTGAAAGGGTCGTTTGACCCCCAAAGGGGTTGGGACCTACAGGTTGAGAACCACTGTTTTAGGCTGTTGAGAGGATAAAATGAGGTTGCGAGCAAAGCAATTACTGTGGGCAGGTATGTCAAAACACAGTGCTCCAAGATCTTAAAAGCCATGATTAAACAAAAATATCAACGTGAAGGTGCTATTTCTCAGCATATCCTAGGGCCGCACACTATGCAGGAAGAGTCTGCAGCCCTCTAACCCTTCCCAGCAGAATTCCCGCTCTTTGATTGACACCCTGCCAGAGGGCAGTTTTGGCGTCGTTGAGGGGCTCCGGTCATGCTGCTCTGATGCTCTTTTTGTTTGGGGAACACAAGTCGGAAGAGACAAGATCAGGGCGAAGTGGATGGGGTAAGGCTTCCCAACAAAGTCCTTGCAGGACACCCTTGACCAGTAGTGAGCAGCTGTGTTATTGGGCTGGCATGCTTATTTTTTTAAGTGCAACTGTCCTGGTATTTTTTTTTATCACCAATATGGTTTTCGATTTTATGACAAACTTTTCATAAGTCTCCATGATCACTCTGTGTCCTTCAAGAAACTCTGTTCATGATGGCCCTTTGGGATCCTCGAAAAACAGACGCCCTAACCGTCAGTAGATCCTGTCAGAAGTCACTGTTTTGATGGGACCTTTTTTTTTTAAGGCACCCCAATGAGACTGAGACAGACATACCACGGAGAGGGCTTGTCTGCAGTCATCCACTGATTGCACACACATGTTCCAGCAATTTTGTTTGGAATAGACCTGTGCATGTATGAACTAGGATCCTAGTAGTCATGTTTTTTTTTTTATTTACCGTAGTAATCATTCAATAAATATCAGCTATAACTATTAATATTTGTGAAATAGGGGCCGATCGTTCCTGAACTCTACTCACCATGTCCTACTGCACGCTGTGACAACCTTCAGGTACCACTTGCTGTTGTGTCGTCGTTATCGACATTCCAGTCGCTGTCATTAGAACAGAAGCTCACGAGGGGCCGGCTTGTTTCTAAATCTTTGCTGCCAGCCTAGGGCCTATTTAGTAGGTGAGGGTTGGCTGAGTGAATGACTAACTAAAAAAAAAAAAAAAAAAAAAGACTAACCAGGTTGTCAACTACGTCCACATGGAAGGAACCCACCCGTCTGTGTGATTCAAGGATTTTAAATGATAAAATCCAAATCCAAAGGAGGGAATGGTATTGGAGCTTGAATTGCGACCACCTGGTTGCATAGATGACAGTGGAAGCCCAAAAGCCATTTGCAGGGGCAACACATGGATTAAGCTTCCGGTGAATTCCCTCTGACTATAGTCCAGGGATGCGAGTAGCCTTGCCGTCAGACAGAGAACATTGTAAAGTCGATTGTGGCAGATGTAGTTAGGTTAAAATATAATAGCATTTGCTCTCCCTTTTGACCCATGTGAAAGTTGTTTGAGTTTTGAGTCTTTTTAAGTGATGGAGAACTAGACATGGATCAAACCTCTTGTGAATCCCTCCGACCAGAGATCAGGGATGTGAACGGCCTTGCTCTCATGCAGAATGCATCCGAAAGTGGATGATTCAAGATGCAGTTAGGTTAAGATTCAACACCTTATCACTGGTCTCCCTTCTGACACATTCTAAATTTGTTCTAGCTTGTGATATTTTCTGCTTTTTGATTGGGGTTAGTTTCTGTTTTACTTTGTTACTGTTGTTAGTGTCTTTTGAAAAAAATGGTTTCCTCTGTATGTGAGATCTGGGCTAGGTGAATCCAGAGACAGGAACCGGATGAATGGTTTTGGGGGGTACGGCTGGGGAGGTTGGGAGAGCTGGTAATGATGAGTACAAGAATGAAGAACATGTTCTACAATTGATTGTGGTGACGATGATTGTGCAACTCTTCTTAGTGTGATTAAACTATTGGATTGTGTGGTTTGTGAGTTATATGCCAATAAAACTTTCTCTTTTTTAAAAAAAGTAATGAATCAACAAATGAGCAAATTGCCGTGACTGCTATTGCTGGTCTAAGCTGGTGTGGAGTTGGCCCCTGGCCACATGGTGCAACGGAACAAATCATTGCCTAGGCCTGCACCAGCCCCGCAAGTGGCTGCGTCTCTGACCCGTGTGATCCACTGGGCAGTTTTGTTGGCTGAGTTTCTCAGGAGAGCATCAGCTCGTTCTGGCTGGCCTGTCTGGAAGCTTGGACAGCATGACAGCAGCACCAAGGCCTCCGTGGGTGGATGGGTGGTGGCTGCCCATTTGGTGCAACGTCTGGGGATCCAACCAGGAGTTCCCGTATGGAACTGCTGTATGATTCCTGTATGGAACGCTGCTGCTCCGACTGCTGGGCCCGGAGGGGAGAACAGACCAGAGACTCCGGCACGCTCAAGTTTCTCAAAAAAGAACACTCCTTTAAAAGAACACAATGGCCGAAACGAGTACACAAGGCCAGTGGGCCGGACTGGCTGAGACAAAGTGTGCAGGCGCCCTGGGAGGTGCGGCCCACAGAGACAGGACGTTGCTGGTTGTAGGGTGGGCCATGGGGACCTGGGAGGATAGGCAGGGCCAGCAGGAACCTCTGGGTTTTTGGGGGGCTGAAGTAGGGTTCAGCTGGCTGACTTGACTGTCTCCTCGGAGCAGCCCAGGCCCCCTAGGGGGCAGGTCCCGATGGAACAGTTCCAGGAAACCCTAGAAGCCTCACATCCCCTCCACCCCATGGACTCGGAGTCCCTGTAGCAGGGGGAAGTCGAACAATGGTCCAAAGACACAGTCGTCATCCTGGCTTGGGGATGGGGGCACTTGGACCCCCAGAGGGCTGTTCTGGAACCAGAGGTTCTCATAGGACTTGGGGCTAGGGGTGAGGCCCCCTAAGAGGGGCTGGGTGGAGTTGCAGCGGATGTAATCCTCTGGCCCCGGGCTCGTGGGGCTGCCCAGCACCTGCCCGTAAAGGACTGGGTCGTTGGTGCTAGACTGGGTCTGGGTCTGGGGGCAGACTTCTCTTGGGTCCCCCTGAAGCACATAGGCCTGCACCAGGGTGGGCAGGGAGCAAGTCCCTGAGCTGTCACTGGTCTCCCAGGGTCCTGGCTTCTTCTCGTCCTCCTCCAGCACCGTGATTTTGGCGATGGGATGCATGCCGGGCTCCCAAAGGCTGGGCAGTTGGAAGGTCTCCTGGACACAGGATGTGTGGTGAGGAGACGCTAAGTTTCTCGCTGTTTGCCCCAGGCACTGCCCTTCCCGAGGTCAGCCAGGGGTGGGGTCAACCCTGCTGCTTGCCTGGAACTCAAAGTACCCTTTCTGTGTCTGATGAGTGCTGGGCACCCTACAGACAACCCCCGACCTCCCACCCCTACCCCCACCCCCACCCCCACCACACACACACAATGACTCTTGGGCTCAGACAGGCAGAGCTGGGTGCAAGACTCAGGCCCGTTTCACTCCAGAGGA